TAGATCCAAAAGGCTACATATTGTACAATTCTGTGTGTATGACATTCTAGAAAGGAAAAGCTATAGGTATGAAAAACAGGTTGCTGAGGGTAAGACTGTGGGAAGGAGTTGACTATAAAGAGACAGCACAAGGGAATTTGTGGGGAGGTGGAACAATTTTGTTTGATACTGAAGTGGTAGACAATTTTGTGTTTTTATCAGTGATGTATAAGAGTTGCCGTTGTCCTGCATCCTTGCCAGCCACTTTTATTGTCAGATTTTGTTTGATTTTTATTTTCTGTCTTTCTGATAGTTTTCTCTAATAGTTTGTAGTTTTACATTTTTACTACACTAGTAGCTAATAATGTTTAGTGTCTTTTCATGTACTTATTTGCCATCTATATATCTTCATTAGTGAAGCATCTGTTCAGGTCTTTTACCAATTTTTCATTTGAGTTATTTGTTTTCTTAGTGTTGAGTGTAAGAATTCTTTATAGGTTATAAATAGAGTTTTTTGCATCATGTTTTTATTTTTATTTGCAAATGTTTTCTCCAAGTTTATCACTTTTCTCTTAAGAGTGCCTTAATAAGAGTAATAGTTTTAAATTTTGATTTGGTTTAACAGCTTTAAATTTTGATTTGTCTTGAAATTGGGTAGTGTCAGTTCTGTAACATTGTTCTTTTATGGGAATTGTTTTGGCTATTCTTTTTTTTTTTTTTCGTCCTTGTGATTGTGAGGCCTCCCCAGCCACTTGGAACTGTGAGCCCATTAAACCTGTTTTTCTTTATAAATTACCTAGTCTTGGGTATGTCTTTATCAGTGGCATGAAAATTAACTAGTAGAGTAAATTGGTACCGATAGAATGTTGTGCTGCTGTAAACACATCCAATGACTATGGAACTGTGTAACAGGCAGAGGGTGGAACAGTTTGGAAAGCTCAGAAGAAGAAAGGAAAATGGGGGAAAGTTTGGAACTTCCTGGAGACTTCTTAAAAAGTTTTGACAAAAATGCTAATAATGATAGAGACAATGAAATCCAGGCTGAGGTGGACTCAGATGGAGATCAGGAACTTACTGGGAACTGAAATAAAGGTGACTCTTTCTATGTTTTAGCAAAGAGACTGGTGGCATTTTGCCCCTGCCCTAAAGACTTATAGAACTTTGAACTTGAGGTAGATGATTTAGGGTATCTAGCAGAAGAAATTTCTAAGCAGCAAAGCATTCAAGATGTGATTTGGGTGCCGTTAAGAGCACTCTGTTTTAAAAGGTAAACAGTTTAAGTGTTCAGAAAATTTACAGCCTGAAGATGCAATAGAAAAGAAAAACCAATTTTCTGAGGAAAAATTCAAGCCTGCTGCAGAAATTTGCATAAGTAATGAGGAATAAAATGCTTATCCCCAAGACAATGGGGAAAATGTTTCCAGAGCATGTCAGAGACCTTTGCAGCAGCCCCTCCCATCACAAGCTGGGAGGCCTAGGAGGAAAAAATGATTTCATGGGCCAGGCTCAGCGTCCTCCTGCTGTGTGCAGCCTACAGACTTTGGGCCCTGCATCCCAGCTGCTCTAGCCATGGCTAAAAAGGGCCAAGGTACATCTGGAGGCATGGCTTCAAAGAGTGTAAGCCCTAAGCCTTGGCTGCTTCCATGTGGTGGTGAGCCTGCAGTTGCACAGAACCCAAGAATTGAGGTTTGGGAACCTCTGCCTAGATTTCAAAAGATGTCTGAATGTCCAGGCATAAGCTTGCTGCAGGGGCGGGGCCCTCGTGGAGAACTTTTGCTAGGGTAGTGTGAAAGGGAAATGTGGGATTGAAGCCCCTACACAGAGTCCCCACTGGGATACTGCGTAGTGGAGTTTTGAGAAGATGGCCACCATCCTCCAGACCCAATAATGGTAGATCCACTGACAGCTTGCACCATGTATCTGGAAAAGCCATATTCACTGCCAGCCTGTGAAAGTAGCTGGGAGTGGGGGCTATACCCTACAAAGCCAGAGGGGTGGAGCTACCAAAGACCATGGGAACCTACCTCTTGCATCAGTGTGACCTGGATGTGAGACATGGAGTCAAAGGAGACCATTTTGGAGCTTTAAGATTTGACTGCCCCACTGGATTTTGAACTTGCATGGGACCTGTAGCCTCTTTGTTTTAGCCAATTTCTCCCATTTTGAACAGCTATATTTACCCAATGCCTGTACCCCCATTGTATCTAAGAAGTAACTGACTTGCTTTTGATTTTACAGGCTCATAGGCAGAAGGGACTTGCTTTGACTTGCTTTGTCTGAGATGAGACTTTGGACTGTGAGCTTTTGAGTTAATGCTGAAATGATTTAAGACTTTGGGGGACTGTTGGGAAGGCATGATTAGTTTTTAAATGTGAGGACATGAGACTTGGGAGGGGCTAAGAGTGGAATGATACAGTTTGGCTGTGTACATACCCAAATCTCATCTTGAATTATAGCTCTCATAATTCCCACATGTTATGGGAGAGACTCAGTGGGGGGCTAATTGAATCATGGGGTTGCTTTTCCCTGTACTGCTCTTGTGGTAGTGAGACTTACTCGCTACCACAAGAACAGTATATAGGAAAAAACCACCCCCATGAGATCTGATTGTTTTATAAGGGGTTTCCCCTTTCACTTGGGTTTCATTCTCTCTTGCCTGCTACCATGTAAAATGTGCCTTTTGCCTTCCATCATGAATTTGAGTCCATCCCAGCTATGTGAAACTGTGAGTCCAGTAAACTTCTTTGCTTTATAAATTACCCAGTCTCAGGTATGTCTTTATCAGCATGTAAAAACAGACTAATACAGTTCTAATACTTTGTTTAACCTGTTCTTTGAGTGGATGCAACCCATAAACAAATACCTTTCATTTCTTGAGACATCACCTATTAAGTAAACATGTTTAGAAATGAGAAATAATTTTGCCTCAAGAATTTCTATTTCCTAATTTGTCTTTTGGGCCACCATGGGTTTCTTATATCAGAATTTCCTAAGACATGCTCCTCCTGTACTCTAAAACACACTGAACATGGAAGACTTCCCAGACTCCTTTGTTAAACAAATATAAGGGTACAGAGCAAGAGCCACTGGTACACCTCTCCACCTGGCAGTTGGAAGCTTGTCTGCAGTTTCTCACAATCCTTTTCTTAAAGACTATTTATTTCTTATTTCCCACCTATTTCCATCCCTGGTAAATGGGGAGAGATGGGTGTGTGTGAGACTGGAGAGATTAGTGGGGAAATATGTATACATTTAAAAAAATGCCCATTTCTGAGATTCTCTGAGAGTCATTGTATTATAGTCACAGCACAGAGCATGGGTGATGATACTATAGCAAAGATAAAAATGCCACAAACTCACGCCTGTAATCCCAGCACTTTGGGAGGCTGAGGCGGGTGGATCACGAAGTCAAGAGATCGAGACCATCTTGGCCAGCATGGTGAAAACCTGTCTCTACTAAAAAATACAAAAAAAATTAGCTGGGTGTGGTGGTACGCACCTGTAGTCCCAGCTACTTGGGAGGCTGAGGCAGGAGAATTGCTTGATTCCGGGAGGCAGAGGTTGCAGTGAGCTGAGATTGTGCCACTGCACTCCAGCCTGGTGCCCAGTGACACAGTGAGACTCTGTTTAAAAAAAAAATGCTACAAATTTGCTTAGGGCAATAGCAGGAACATTATTTATAATGAAAAGAGCATGCTATTTAGGAATAGAGAGCCCTGGGTTTAAATTCTAGCTCTGCCCTCATGCATGTGGGACCTTGACCGAGGTATGTTTACCTCAGTTAAGCCTCAGTTTTCCCAACAACCCTATGAAACAGGAAATTATATTTCCATTTTACAGATGCAAATTCAAACCGTAAGGAGATACCATTACATATACACTAGAATGACTGACATTTAAAACACTGTAAAGACCAATTTTTGGCAGGAATGTAGAACAACTAGAATGTTTATACACCGCTGGTAAGAATGTAAAATTGCATAACCACTTTGGAAAATTATTTGGCAGTTTCTTAAAAAGTTCAAAATGCATCTACCATATGATTGAGACATTTTACTTCAATATATTTACTCAAGAAAAATGAAGACATGTATTTCCTCTAAGAATTGTACGTTAATTTTCATAACAGTTTTATTTGCAGTAGTCCCAAACTGGAAACAACCAAAATGTTCATCAACAAGTGAATGCATAAATGAATGTGATGAGTGCATTACGTAGACTAGATTACTACTGGCAATAAAAAGCAACAACTACAAATACATATTGTAATGTGGGTGAATTTCAAAACAGCATGCTGATTGAAAGAAGCAAAACACAACATATAATCTGCAATTCCATTTACATCAAATACATCTCATCTATAGTATCAAAGAACAGATCAGTGGTTGCCTTAGGGTGGGAGTAAAGAAAGGAATGCACTGCAGAAAGGCATAATGCATTTTGTTCTGTAGCTTGATTGCAATACTATTCTTCTGGGTATGTATCGTTGTCAAAACTCTTCAAGCGGTGCACTTTGAATGAATGTGTCATTGTTTTGTTATTCCTCAACAATGTTGATTAGGGAAAAATAATTTGTTTAAAGCAAAAGTAGCAATGAGGTTTATAACACATGTAGAAGACCTGTGTCAATATCTTATATATAATCTATATATACATATCTTTATATATAAAATCTCAAAAGTACCAAAGTGGATGGGGTAGTGGAATTGAGGTATACTGTAATGTTGTAATGTGCAGAATTTCCAATGGAAGTGGAATTAAAAAGTTACAAATACAAGAGGCATGTGAAACTTTTTTGTGTCTGGATAAAAGAAAATAATTTGGAACATGATCCTATGTGTGTAGACCAAAAGAAGACGAGAGTTGAGCATAGTGCCCACTTTTTGCTGGGTCAAGGGGTGCCTAGACAGATGTCAGTGTGAGTGATGAGGCCTATAAATGAACTGAAAGAAAAGTAAGCTTGGACAGAAAGCAGAGGAGAGAATGTTGTGGTGGAGACTCATGGTTGCTTTGTCCCGCAGGTATGCTGGGGCCATCCTGGATGAGGATGTCTTCCAGGGAAAGGAGCTGGTCAGCAGTCGCTCGCTGCAGGCTCTGGTGGCGGGGCTTAAGGCCTACAGCACCTGGGAGAACATCAGCTGCCTGCAGGACTGCCGTGAGTGCACCGGAGGAATGGTGAGCCCCAAGGCCTGCAGCCCTGCAGGTCCCTACGATATGGGACACACTGGGGGAGCACTGTGGGGCGGGCAGAGAACATGCTTCAGAGTCAAAGGGAAATCCCAACTAGTGGTGACTCCAGGTTCCTTCCTTACCAGACTTGTAGTCTTGCGTGTCTCCCTCATATGATGCTGCCAGGACTGCTAGAGCTCGTGTCTGTAAAACGGCTGGCCTGGCAGGCAATACGTGTCATGAAACTTGGTGGGGCAAAGGTAGTCCACCAAAACTTGATGAACAGAGTGGGAAAGGGCCACTGAAGGTTCAGATGATCAAAGCTCCACTCTAATGTTTGAATACCTTGGGGAGAACACAGGAAATGACCTGTGTTCGAGGTCATTTCCCACCCCTGGTGAGGGCGCATCAGGTGGAACATTCAGAGACTTCCTGGTGTGCCCCCAGCCCCAGTCTCAGAGTGGACTGTGCGGTGAGAAGCACAAGGTGTGAGAAATCCCAATATGAACATTTGGGGGAGTTGAGGGAGGCTCTGAGAGCACCTGGATTTGTGTGCAATTGTGAGAGCAGAGGCCCTACAGGACTCTGCAGGTTTCCACACCCATGCAGGGGTCCAGAGCCTGTGGCAAAGTGAACCCAAGTTGGGTGTCTGAGAACAGGGCAAGCAGTATGAGGCTATGGGCCTGTGACGCAGTGGCACGGCAGGACTGCAGGACCTGCTCTGTGCTTCATTCCAGTGCTGGCCAGAGGCAGCCGCTCCCCGAACTCCAGACCACACCCCAGAAGAGAATGGGAGGAGGGAGCCCTGTTGGCTTTTGGTCTGTATTTAATGCTGAACTTCATCAAATATTTGCCTAAAAACAGCACCTCTGAACATGAAGTGGAAGATGAAGAGTTTTAGCCTCAGTAGAAAATGGGTCAAGGGCAGCTGTAGAAAATAAAAGGGGAAGGATAAATTTCTGGAAAGCCAATTCCCTTAGTGTGGAGCTAACAGATTGTACAGAGGGGCCATGGTGAAGATGGGCGGAGCCTTCATAAGAGGCAGAGCTGAGGGCAGAGCCTGAGGGATCCCCCATGTGATCCATGGTGTTCGTCCATCTGAAAGCCAGTGTGATCATTTCTTTTAGGTGGCTGAGTGAAGATGTGTCCCTGACGATGGTGGCAGGTGGGGCATGTCTGCTTCATTCCTATGCAGATGCTGCATGGGGTCCACATGGAAAAGAAAGGGAATGGAGAATAAAATAATAGCTGGCGTAGGGTGCAGCTGGCCAGGAATGAGGTTCTCCAAGGCAGCTGGGGCAATGGTTCAATGTATCTCTCCTTAGCTGAGGAGGGCCCTGCCAGGGGGTTAGTTTCCATCTGCATCTCCAGGAGGTGGCTGTCCCTTCAATCAGCAGGCTGGCAGTAGCTGGGAACACAGCCCAGGGATTTGGGGGTAGAGTAAGAAGGTTAGGTCAGCAGGTGGGGGGTTCGATCTAAAGTGGCCCTGCAGGCAGGGGCAGCCACATAGAGGGGGGTTGGGGCATTGCTGGGGGCCCTGAGCTCAGAAACCATAGCCTTGACAAGTGACTCAGCCTAAGGGCTCGCTCAGAACCCTCTGCAGGCTCCTGGTCCTCTGTGCTCCCATGGCTCTTTCCATTTCTCACAGTTCATGGGCAGATAGGCCCAAGGCTCTCTTACCCCCAGGCCTTTATAGCCTCCCTGCACAGAGACCCTCCTGTGTGCCTCTTGTCATCCTAACCCTCATCTCTCTGTCCTGGCTCCAGTGCTCATTATGGGAGGCCATATTTCCCCAGGGTCAATGCTGAGCCCTGGAAATACCACCCGGAACAATCACCCTTGCCTGCTCTCCAGTGGTCTGGCCTGTCATGCTCACCTGTGCTGCCCAGGACCACCCAGCAGTGCAGAAATGGCCCCACCCTGTTAGAGAAGACACAGTCCATGCTGGAATGCCAGGCCCCCAGGCATGCTGCCTCACAGCTCTGCACCTGGTAGCTCCTAAGCAACCTAGGGCAGAGGGCCCTAAAAGGCAAATGCTGTGTCCTCTGCTCACAATACTTCCGACACCAGATGTGTGGCTTCTCCATAACAAGCAGTTCTCTAATTCTCTGTGGACACTAATGGGGTGCTCTACAACAGTAGCCTTCAACCTTTTTGGCACCAGGGAATGGTTTTGTGGAAGACAATTTTTCCGTGGGTGGTGTTGGGGGTCAGGGGGGCAAGGTAGGGGGGATGGTTTCGGGATGAAACTGTTCCACCTCAGATCATCAGGCATTAGATTCTCATAAGGAGTGCACAACCTAGATCCCTCACATGCACAGTTCACAATAGGGTTCATGCTCCCATGAGAATCTAATGGTGCCGCTGATCTGACAGGAGATGGAACTCAGGTGGTGATACTTACTCCCATGGCTCACCTCTTGCTGTGTGGCCTGGTTCCTAAAAGGCCATGGTCTGGTACAATCTGTGGCCTGGGGACTGGGGACCCCTGCTCTACAATTTAATTCATTCTGACACTGGCTACCTGGAGATCTGCAGATTAAGGCTTCAGTTCCATGAATCTTCCCCCAACTTTGGATGCTAGTCACAAATAGTGTTTCTCTAGGTTACCCCCACTGGTTTTATTATTATTGAGACAGGGTCTCACTGTCACCCAAGCTGGAGTACAGTGGCACAATCACAGCTCACTGTAGCCTCAAACTCCTTGGCTCAAGAAGTCTTCCCTCCTCAGCTTCCCAAGTAGCTGGGACTACAGGTGCATACCACTTTATCTGGCTAATTTACTTTTGGTAGAGATGGGGATCTTACTATGTTGCCCAGGCTGGTCTCAAACTCCTGGCCTCAAGTCATCCTCCCAACACACTCTTCCAAAATGCTGGAATTACAGCTGTGAGACATTGTTCCTGGTCTACCCACAGTTTTGCCTAATTTGTGTAAAATTTAGGAATTCCCATAACCCTCTCCTTAGCTTCAATAATTCGCTATAATAGCTCACAGTACTCAGGGACACACTTAAATGTTTGCTGGAAATAATTAAGGATAGAGATGAACAGCCAGATCAGCTGAGGTCCAGAATGGTTCTGAGCATGGGAGCGTCTGTCCATCTGGAGTTGGTGTACACCACCCCACTCAGTACAGGGATGCGATTACCAACCTGGAAGCTCTCTGAACCACATATTTTAGGGATTTTTATAGAGGCTTCTTCACATAGGTATGATCAATTATTAACTCAATCTTTAACTCCCCTTTCCTTCCTGGAAGATGGCGGGGGTTTCAGGGAGGGCATAAAAGCTCTGAGTTTCTAACCATGGCTTGGCATTTCTGATGACCAGCCCCCATCCTGAAGCTGTCCAGGTGCCCACTAGGAGTTGCCTCATTAGAACAAAAGATGCTCCAACACCCAGGAAATTCCAAGAGGTTTAGGAGCTCTGTGTCAGGAACCAGGATCAAAGAGCAAATTTAGAACAAAGAATGCTTCTAGCATCCCTCTGGAAATTACAAAAGTTTTAGGAGCTCTGTGCCAGGAACAAGGGATGAAACAAAATGTGCATTTCTTATTAGATCACAATATCACGACCCTGATTTCTTTGTTCCTTCCCTTCTCCCCACCTCCAATCCACCTGATACCTAGCATGGGGATATTTGTAGAGACACAAATATTTGTTGAAAGAAAAGAATACGCATCTATTAATTGTTTTAAGCTCATATGCACACACACTGCATATTTTTCAGGCTGGAACTCCCTGCGAGTGAAATGTATGCTTGAGTCTGGGGCTACTGAGAGGATACTGAAGACCATCTCTCATTTTTTTTTTTTTTTTTTTTTTTTTTTTTTTTTTTGGTTTGTAGTACTAGGCAGATCTTGCTTTAAAAAAAAAAAAAAGTGTTTCAACACATATTTACTGTCTTTGAAGCCAGTAATCCTGGGCGTGACTTTGGGCCAGTTATTCCCACCCTGTTCCTCAGTTTTTCCATATATAATATGGAGATAAGCCTTCCCTTGTAGAGGTTGTGGGAGTTAAATTCTATGAGACAAAGAGCATAAAATGTTTAACACATGGACTCAGGAAGTAGAACTTGATGTTTTCTTGATGTGCCCAGGCTGGGGATTTGGAGAAAAAAGATGCCACATGGTCTCTATTGCTTGCCATTGTACAAGGTAGACAGGTGGTGGCAGAGCCCAGCACAATGAGACAGGCCCTGTGCAATAGCAGGAGCTCAGAGTACTGAGCGTAAAGTGGAGAGTCCACAAGCAATGCCACTTGAGCAACTTAAAGAATGAGCAAGAGCCTTCCAGGTGGGGCTGGAGGACCTGCCAGGCAGGAGAACCTGAACACAGGATGAGGGTGTGGGAGTCTGTGGTACACTGAGGGACACATGATGGGCATGGCTGGGTCTCAGTGAGGATGCAGGGGAGGAAAGAAATAAAGGGAAAAAGCAGGAACCAGATCTAGAGAAGGGGCTAGCCCTGTCTGCACTGCTGCCTGCAGCAGGTGCTCTGTGGTGCTGTCAGGCCCAGCACCACATAGTGCAGCTGATTTAGTGCACAGAGGCTCAGGCTGCAGCACTGCAGCACGATGCCTGGCACTTATGGACACTTCATGTCAGCTATTCTCACTTATTGCCATTTTACAAATGAGTAAACTGAGGCTAGACTATAAGGGCAGTGAGGGCAGGGACCAAGTCCTTGATCACTACAGCCTAAGTCTGACTGTTATGTGGAATATTCAGAAGGTAGTTGTGGACTGAGTGATGACCAGCTGACAGACAAATGGACAGAGAGAATGAAAGAAAGAATGAATGAATGAATAAATGCCCTGTGCATCTGTTTTCTTTCTTACCGTTAGAACTTGGAATTAATCCACAAAACTTGGCTCGCTGATCTTTTCTTGCTTTATTATTTTTTTTACCCTGAACGCTTTTTTTTTAAAAAAACAAACAAACATAATTTTGTTACTTTTGGAGGGAGAAAGAACAGTGGTTTTGCCTACAGACTACTCAGAAAC